TCTCTCTCTCTCCCTCTCTCTCTCTCTCTCTCCCTCACACACACACACACACATTCCGGTGCCCTTGTCTCTGTGGTCTGCAGCCTGGGAAAGATGCTGAGGAGGGGGCGTGATGCTGGGAGGTGAGGTGAGACCCCCTCCCCACTAGCCATCAGTCCTGGCCTGCAGTGAGCGCATCACCAGCTCTCTGCTAGCCTCCTCCGACAGCCTGCAACTGTAGTTTAATCCACTTGCAGTTAATTTGGACATTGTCACCAAGGGAAGGTAGCTGGGAGCTCTCTCCCCATGAACCATGAGGGTCTGCTGAGTTAACACTCCAGCTGGCTGGCTTTCCCCTGACTGTTTTGGCCCTGGCTTTGCTAAATCATTTAATGAGCACCATTGTGGGCCTGAGTGAAGCCAGCAGGCAGAGAGGCCCAGGCCTCTCTCCGGTCCCCGTAGGTCTGACTCACGTGCCCCACACGAGCGCACAGCCAGGCACTTTGCTCAGAAAGCCCAGTTGCCGTGGAAACAGTTTACAATATTTTTCTGCTTTCTAAATGGAAGTCCCCAAATGCCTGGCTGTCGGTAACTGCTCCAGGTGGGAGGCTGCATGACAGGTGAAGCAGCTTGGGAGCTTCCAGAAGCAGGCCCCAGGCTGGCTTTCCGGGTGAGCTGGGCAGCCACGGACCCCAAAGGGATGAGGCCCCAGGTCCTGGCCCAGGCTGACTGCATTCCCCCAAAGGCCTCTGACTGGCTGCAAGTGCCAAGTGCGAGGGGCCTGCAGATACACCAGGGTTTTGGAATTTCATCCTTGGTCTTGATTACGTAGTGTGAGGCCCCAGAAGCAGTGACAGTATTGGGGCAGAAGTCAGGGCCCTCCGCCCCTGGTGGGGCCCTTTTTCTGGAACCAGGGACATCTGTGGTTTCCTCGTCCGCTTCACGGCAGCCTCTGGTTTTGCTTTCCCTTCCAGCCGCTGCTCAGCCATGATGCTTCTGGGGGTTGGGCCCTTGCTTGCTAGGGGAGTGTGGGGTAGGGGGGGGAGCAGGGTGCGGGCCCCTGGTATGCACTAGAGGGTGTCAGTAGGGGCAGGATAAGGAGCCATTTGTCCACCACACACCTAGGAAAAGGTGGGGCACACAGAATGTGGGAACACAGGGCAGCATTGGGGGTCCCAGCTGAAGAGTGTGTCCTTCCCAGCCACATTAGCGTCCCCTCCTCCATCCACCTCCCTCTGTGGCTGCCATGCCCTGCCCCTCCCCTAGGCACTCAGAAACACCTGACCAGCCAGAGGCAGAAAGGTGGCCGTAACACAGCTAGGCCTCCCTTGACCAGGTGCTTCATTGGTGCAGCGGGCCCTTGGGCTATTTGTAGGCTATTGACATTTTTGTTGTCATTCTCACAAGTTGCTTCTCTGGTTTCCCTAAACACAGGAGCAAAAGCCTGACCCCCGCGCAGCCTCAACAGCTGTCCGCGGTGGCCCTAAAAAGAAAAGTTTCGGCTGATAAAGATCTGCTATTTTTATCTGGCACCTTCTCTTTTACCAAGGGCATTGGGGTCCTTTGTCTCCTTTAATCCTGACAAAATCCTCTGAGGACCTGTCTGTTCATATTTCACGTGTGAACCTGAGGAGGAGCAGGTTGCCATGCGCCCCTCATGGACGCAGGCCCTGCTGGGGCCTCGGCCCTTCTCCACACGGGGGGCCCGACAGCCACCCTCATCCCACTAAATGTCTTTCCAGAAGGGCAGGAGTCACAGCTGGCGTGGTCAGCCTCGCCTGCCTTCCCTGCCAACCACCCATTCTTAGGACCCACTCACAGCAGCCTGAGCCCCTGGGGTGACTTGTTCCTGTGAGACACCGGCAGAGCTGGACTCTCAGGTCCCTGGGTCCTGTGCTGCTCCTGGGAGCCCACTGGAAAGTCAAAGCCATATCAGCACCCCCTGCCCCCGCCTTCCATGCCCTCCCGCTGGCAGCTGTCTCAGGCCCTGTGGGCACCTGTGCTAGTGACCTTGGTTACTGCCCCCAGGGAGCCCCAGGGTGCTGAGGAGTTGCCAGCCAGCTGGGTGGTCTCACAGACTGGTTCCTCTGGTCTTGATGGTAGGACCCCCTGCAGCAGGGCAAGGGTGGCGAGGCGGGGGCAGGGGTGTGCCTCAGGCCTGCTAATGGGCCTGGCCAGTGAGGAGCAGTGGGCTTGACCTCCTGTTCCTACCAGGTGAACTCCCTGGAGAGCAGACCAGGATGGTGGGGAGCAGGATGGGCGGGGGTACCCCTCCATCCTGGGTCTCCATCTCATGGGTGCTGAGGCTGGGGTCCGGCCAGAGCGGGAGGTCCTCCAGGTGCATCTGCCCTCCCAGGCAGGCAGGCATCAGCCCTCCGATGGGCTCCCCTCTGTGCTCTGAGGCCCGAGTCCCACACCCTCATGTGTCCTAAGCCAGGGGGCCCCAGGGGAGGAGACCTGATGGGTGCAGCAGGCCATATGCCCCACCCCTACCAGGCTGGGCCTCCTGTGCTTGTTTGAGAGATAAGAGCCTGTCCTGGGTAACTTGGACCTGAACCACATCCCCACCCTCCTGCCACTGGCCCAAGATGAAGGGAGGAAGGAAAGGTCGCACAAAGAGGCCTAAGCAGGCCGTTAACGGCAGAGGCAAAGTGGGAAGCTCTGGGCTCTGGGGCTGGAGGCCCCCCTCCCCCACTGCCTCGGCTCCTTGAGCATGAGGGCGGGGTCCTTGGGACTGGCCTCTAACCTCACCCTGGCGGTATCTGGACACCATGGAAAAAGGTTTGAATGGTGGATGCTGGAAGCAGAGACAGGCCTGGCACCTTTGTACCATTTCCCAGGTGAATGAAGGCCTGGGTTAGGCCAGGGGCAGTAGGGAGGGCAGGCACAAAGCTGAGAGATGACCAAGGGCACACAGCTGGTGTAGAGCCTGAGTCGCTAGACTCCCAGTCCAGTGCTCCGGGTGAAGCAGTGTTATTATACACTTCTTATCCAGCCACCCAGACGCGTGCGGCCTGTTGGGCAGGTTGGCTGCTTCTTCCTGGGAGCCTGCGGCTACTGTCCCGAGCCCAAATCCAGCTCCAGGGCAGATAATTTCTAGGACCCTCCTGCCCTGGCCTCCCTGATGGCAGCTGCTGCTGCTGCTGCTGCCACAGCCACATTTCCCGCCGGCAGCAGCACCTAGCTCCCCGCAGCCTCCAGATTTCACCCTGCAGGCTCCATTCCCGCCAGCCTGCCTCGCACTGCCAGCCGGTGCCCGTATGAGGCCATCGCTGTCCCCGGCGGGCTGAGCTCTGCACAGCGTGGATGGCAGCTCTGTGCCCAGACGCTGTAGGCCCCCCAGAGCCCCCGCCACTGCCCCCAGTGCAGTCTCCCCGTGGACTCGGCCTTCAGATGGATCTGCTCACTTCCCCTCTCAGAAGCCTGCCCTGGCTCCCCACGGCCCAGAGCAGTGGCTCCCAGCCTGCCCAGTGTGGGGAATTCCAGATTAACCCCAGTGGGTCATTTTATGTCTGAGGCCGTATCTGTGCTTCCCCCCCCCCATTCTGCTGTGGCCACAGTTGGTCTAATGAAGGGGCTCACGGCATGGAGAATTCCAGATTAACCCCAGTGGGTCATTTTATGTGGCTCCTCAGTGGGTCTCAGTCTGTTTTGTGGGGGAGGGGCTGGGAGAGCCTGGCGAGGTGTCCATCTATTCCTTCCAGACCAGACGGCGCTCTGTGGGTCCTGAGCCCGTCCTTCCCTCTCCTCGTCCCAAGGTCTCCTTGCAGCCAGCAGGGAGAGGTCTCACCGTGGGAAAGCGGGGGCAGGGCTCCCAGGGTGTGGGAGCCCCACCTGGCTGACCCCGCATTGCTGATCACAGGAGGAGCGGCCCCCCCACCACCGCTACAGGAAGGGGGGCTCTGTGGGCGGTGTGTGCTACCTGTCGATGGGCATGGTCGTGCTGCTCATGGGCCTCGTCTTCGCCTCTGTCTACATCTACAGATACTTCTTCCTCGCCCAGGTGAGGCTGGGAGGGAGGTGGGGCCTCAGAGGGAGGGGAGCAGACAGAAGTGTGCGAGTTTGCGCCGGGTGGGGGAGCTGGCGGGACAGGGCAGCGTGAGCAGGCAACGGCCAGGTGCTTGGAGGTTGCGAGGAGGGGGGCCGCAGGGAGCCCCGCACCTGCCCGCCGGTGGGAGGGGTGCCCGGGCTCGCCCGGAAGACCCGCATCCTCCCTCCTCCCCAGGGCCTGCTTGGGCTCAGGCCAGCCCACCCTCAGCTCCTCGTCCTAGGGACCTAGCACTGGTCCAGGAGACGGGACTGGGGTCCTGTCTTCCAACGCCCACGGACCCTGGAAGAGTGTCCATAGCCATTTCTTCAGACATTCCCGGGGCCAAGAGGGATCTCTCCCAGGAGCACAGTCAGTGACGGGGGAGCCAGGACGGGAACCTGGGCCTGTGTGACTCGGGGCCCCTTCCCACTGTATCGCCCTGGGGCATTTCCGCCAGAACCTCAAATCCAGCAGCAGCTAGAACTCCGTTCCCGTGCCCGCAGGTCGTGCTCTGAGGAATTCCATTTCGTGCTTTGACGTTCGGGTTAAAAAACGAGGAAGGTGGAGAGAGGGTTTATAGACAGATGCGCCGCCACCTCCGGTAAAGGTGGCCTCGGCTCTGGTCACACCCCCACTTACCTGCTCACACGGCCGCTCTGGACAGGAGGACGAGCTGTGGTCACAGTGACCGTGTGATCGACCCAGACCTGGGGAGGGAGGCCAGTGCCACCAGGTTCTGAGAACCGAAAGTAGTTAAATTAAAAGTAGCTCAAAAAAAATAACCGTAAGCATAACAAACAGAGACTCTCAGAGAGACAGAGGGTTGGGAACTGTCAGTTACTTGTGACCCGAGTGGCCGCCTCCCACCCTCAAGCATTGGGCCTTGATTTTGTTGTCACCCAGTTTTTCCACAATGGAAATTACTGAAGAGTTTGTATGCCATGGGACTTTCCCCTTGGAACTGGCTGACTTCCCCATTAGTTCATCCCCTCCCCCGCCCCCATGGCCTGCTCCCCACCTGTTCCGGGTCCTTGCTTTCCTATGTGGGACCCCACAGCCCTCCCCTGGACCCACTCTGGCTCCTGGTCCCCTCTTCCCAGCCCCCATTCGCACCCTCCAGGAGTTCCTCAGCCACCCCAGTTCCCAGGGACTGGTGGCACCTCGGAGCAGCCTCTGGGTCTATGCCCTGGGACAGTGTGATTCATGTGTGATGACTCATCCCGGGAGAGCTGCCGCTGAATGGGGAGGAAGGGGCATTCTGCCCGTGACAGGCCAGCAACCTGGGCACGGATGGAGGAGCCCCTGGAGAAGTGTGGGTCCACCCGGTCAGTCCCTGGGCCTCAGGCATGGCACTCTGCCTCCCTTCCCTTATCGATGGAGTAATTAGCTGGCCACCCAGATAGGGGACACAATGTTTGTCAAGGTTTCTCCTGAGGCACGGGGTCCAGGGAAGGTGGCAGGGTTGTGTGAGGTCGCACAGGAGCTGGAATCACAAGAGGCTGCTTCTCAGCAACTCCCTCCTGTGCCCCCAAGGTCACAGGGCCATAGAGCATGGGGCAGAAAAGACCAGCAAGCGCCCTCTGGTGGCAGCGGAGTCA